TTATTTTAAAATATATAAACATCATTTTTTTTATTATTATCTTCAAAGCATTGTTCACTGTCACATTATTATTATTACATGTCATTTTTTTCAGACAGGCCGCATAAGTGATTTCACACTTTAGTAGAAGAATAAATATGTTGCATTTTTATTACAGTTGTTTTCTTTTAAAATAAAGAATTTATAAACTATTGAAATTTCTTGTTACTTTTAAATAATGTATATAAGTTGTACATATGCTGCACGTATAGTAAATTTAGAAAATTTCAAATAGAATTATATTTATTTTTCTGAAACAGTATAAAACAAAACTGCCTGTTCATATTATTTCTTTTGATTTTCTACAAATATCACTGCAGTTTAATTTTATTAATTTTAAGGCATGCATATACATCTAAGATTTATTAATGTATTTAATTTTGTTATATTTTTGTAGAACATATAGAATAAACTATGTGAAAAGATAAACTTCAAAATATTTGTTATTAAACTCCTATAGTTTTGATTTTTGTATGAGGCATAAGAGTAGATGTGCATGTATCAATTAAAGACATATATTTAAATACCTATATTACTTTTAATAAATTGCAGTAAACAACCTATTTTCACGTGCAAAGCACACGTGTTTCATATCGATCCCAAGACAAAACGGTCTTGGGTATCTGCCTCTACAGCAGCAGTATCTGTTTCATTTTTTTATGACTCGACCAGAAGTCTGTATAGAATAATTTCTGTTGAAGGAACAAAGGTAACTGAAAACTGATTAAATTTTTAAGGGTGACGAAATTGTATGAAAAATTATTTATATTTATTTATTTAATTTTTAGGCAGTAATAAATAGTACTATTACTCCAAATATGACCTTCACGAAAACGTCGCAAAAATTTGGCCAGTGGTCAGATGTTAGAGCTAACACCGTATACGGTCTTGGCTTTTCATCTGAGGAAGAATTAGGAAAGGTTTGTGAAATATGTCTTTAGTTAACGTACAGCCATGTGTACACCACAATCTCAGAGACAATATCATTCATTTGGCAGTTTATAGAGAAGTTTCATGAAGTGAAGGAGGCCACTAAATTAGCTAATGCTAAGTTACAATCAAACAGCTCCTCTGTTACTCCTGCTACTAGTGCAAATGTTAGCCCGATTACGTCACGATCGGGTATGCCATCATCAGAACAAGATCTTATAGATCCACCAAATTCATCAATGATTAATTCAAATGTATCCACCTCGAATAACCCAAACCCAAATGCTAATATGATTTCTACTCAAAACAATGTGTCTTTGGTAAGCAGCAGTCCCTTACCTGGTAATTGTCAGAATAAAATGGATGAAGAATTGAAAAATGCAGTCCATTCGAGATCACAGAGTGTTTCTCAGCAGAGTACAGAGAGTCCACAGCATCAAGGCAAACAAGCACAGATTAATACTGCGCAAGGTGCACAATCAACAGAAATGCAACTTAAATATGAGAATGATAGGCTGAAATTTGCATTGACACAAAGTTCTGCTAATGCTAAGAAATGGGAGGTATGATATAATATATAAAAATGTAAATCTAGTTGGGAACTTGTCATTTCTACTTTTCTTCTTAATTATTGAAACTAAAATTTAATTATAGGTTGAATTAACTACTTTGAAAACGAATAATGCAAGATTAACAAGTGCATTACAAGAATCTACAGCGAATGTAGATGAATGGAAAAGGCAATTACAGTTATATAAAGAAGAGAATTTTAAAATTAAAGCTAAGTATGCGGATTTGGAAGCTGGAAAAATTGCTGAAGGCAATAGCGAAGCACTAAGGTTGAGAGTTGAAGCATTAGAAAGTGAACTTAGAACGCGAAATGAAGAAATCAAAGCACTTACTATAGCTACAAAAAATAAAGATTTTTTGGTATGTGTATGTCTAAAACTTTAAGTTTCATGTATAATAACATTTCATGAAAAGTGTGATAAATAATTTTTGCGTATGATGCTTATTTAGTACTCATTCCATCTGTATCTTTTTCAGGCATTACAGAAAGAAAATGTGGAACTTCGTGAAATGTTAAGGGTTGTCCATGAACAATTGGAACTTGCATTAAGTGCAAATAAAGTCCAGAAGCAGAACTTGGATACGTTAAATGCAAGATTAGCTGGATATATACAAGATTTGGTAACTGTACATCGAGAAATCACAAACACATTGCAAACTTAAGTTTGCGTTTAGTAAATCTGAGAATATTCTTCTTGGAAGTTTTGTATTTATGATATAAGTGAAGTATACAAATGGACGGTGTAGATTAATACAAAGGGAAAGGTTCCAAAAAAAACATACATACTAAAAAATGGTCTTTAAAAGGCAAACTACAAGGACACTATCTTCAATAATAACGATAAATTGCAT